GGGGGGGGGCGGAGCTGAGGGCCGCGCGGGCGGTGCGCTTCCCGAGCGCACGCGCTGCGCTCCTGGTGCCGTGATCCGCGTCGCGCCCGGAGCGGGGCACACGGGCTGCTGCGTTGCAATCCTGCACGCTGGCCATTTTGTGATTTAATTTTTTTGAGTTCTGCGCTTCGTGCGTGCCAGGTTCCCGCGGCCCGGCGCGCCGCCGCCACCTTCTCGAACGGCAGGCGAGGGGCGGGTGGGGGCGCGTTACATCCCCGCGGGGAGAAGGGAGGCCGGGTTCCCGGGGTTGGCCTGAGTAGGCGGAGGGGCCTCCTGGCAGATCCAGAGGCTGCCGGGCCGGGTCCCTTGCGACGCCCGGCCCCAGGCCTTCCTGAAGGGAACCTTTGCGCCTGGCCCCTCTATCGCCCTCACTTTCTTGCTTTCGTCAGCCCCTCTCCCTCTCGGCCAGTTGAAAGACCTCATTCGCCGGTTACCCCTTCCCTCCAGTGAGGATCCGGCGTGTACTTATTTTGATCGGGAGCCGGGCTGAGTGTTCTGGTGGAAAGGTTCTCTTAATCTAAGTCTTGTAAATCCAGTCATGTACTCTACAGCGAAGTTGCAGTGCTCCACAATTTAACCTTTAGGCTCCAGGGAGTGCGCGCGCTTTCTCCCTCCCTCTCGCTCGCTCTCTCTGTCTCTCTCTCTCAAATACAACTTTTAGAGTCTTCTGAGAACTGTAAGCATTAGATTATCTTTGAGATAATTCTTAAGTTAGCGCCTTCGGGCAGCTCGATGGGAGGTTCAAAGAGAAGGCTTTACACTTTTTCCTCCACCTGTATCACCGTTTGAAATGGAAAACGTTGACTTGACGGTGATTTTCCACCAAGAGGTGGGTTTCACAATGCAGCCCCCGAGTGCTGTGGCTCACCTTGGTTGTTTGGTGCTACCTCTGAAGTTGATTTTAAAGCCCAATGTAGTGGTCAGATAAAGGAGCTGCTGAAAAGAAGGTCAGAATAATTCAGTAGAGCCATTTTATTGCATTCTGTTAACCTGTTTAAGTAAGCTAAAGCGTGGCAGGAGTTTCACCTAGGAACCCACGTACCAAGTGCTATGGTGAATTTTAATGCATTCCAGGTCTGATGTGGAATAGATTCTCCTTAGCTCTTTTATTGTATATTTTCCTTAGGATCTTGTATTTAATGAAACAGTTTGATATGGAGGTTTGGAGGAGTACGTTTTGAATCATGAGACTTTCTTTGACAAACTTGTAAACTAAATGGCTAAAATATGAACCATGATACTGAGATAAAAATAAGAAACTGAATTTTTGGCATTATCAGTTTGAGAAGTTGACTTCTTTACTCCTGTTTTGAAACCCTGTTGACATTTTAATCTTATGTACTACAGAAGTACAGAATTTTCTGTTTGTAAGGGACTTTCACAGTTTAATCCAAACCCATTATTTCACAGGGAGAAATTAAAGTTTCTTGAAGATATTTAACAACAGTTAAATAGAACCGGTTGGCTTAATGAACTGAAATGAACACTTAAGTATACAGTTTAGACCTCTCCGATGAATACTCTTGTGCCAAAATTTGTTTTGATTATGTTATCTTAAGAAAAGCCTAGTAATTACTAAATTTTCTTTTTTCTTTTTTCCTGTTTTGAGTATATGCCTTAGTTTATGATTTGGACCCATTAGATACAAATGACAAATTATGTATAGTTGGGAAATGTTACATTCCATCAGTTGAAATAGTACTTTCCAGTTTGATTGAAATTAGTAATTATTTTCACTCTAAGAACGTTTGTTCATATTCTTGTTTCAGATAGTCTGTTTCAATTCTAGGAGAGTGGCGGTTCAAGATCCTCATATATAAGACTCTGGTGTATGTAATCTTGATATTGATGAGGAAGAAAGGTGCTATACGCATGTAGTAATTGAATTCCAGTTCCCGAGCCAACATCACTTTTCTTGGTGGGCCTCAGATGCAGAGATCCTGAAGTCCTGGCTAAGGCAGGGTGAATTCTTTGCATATGCACCACAGTGTTTAGGCATTTAGCAAATACTTTTTGGTAAATACTTGTGTACACTTTACCTGGTGACCAGGTCTTATTCTTTCTGTGTAAGCCTCGTGTCTAGTGCTTGTGGTCATTTTGGGCTCAATCAAACTTAAGGGAGCCAAGTGCCTGGAAGTCATGAATCATGATATTGTAAACTTGAAATCATTCCATTTCCATATACGTGCTGAATCAAATATTCTATTAAGTTAAATTCCAGTATTGGAAGAGGTAGCAGGTATCAAATATTTTAGAAAAATTGGGGGGACAGACTTAACATTGAGAATTTTATTCTTTTAACATATGTTACTCACTGTGAAGTTGGGAAAAAGGAGCATTATTTAAATTTTTTGATAGGTCACCTCAGTAGAGCTGAAGTAATGTGAATTTTCTAGTGAAATTTTCCACTGGAGCAAAGTTTGACAGCCATCTATTGAGTGACCCTCTAATTGTTACCGTAGGCCACATTTTAAAGTTTTGGTTTCACTTTATAAGGATAAACATTTTTCAGCATATAGACCTTTGTAAGGAGCATGACTTTTGGAGTCCAGACTACCTTGGCAGGCTGTCCTGAAATGATGTATTAAACAGTTTCAGGCTGTATTTGATATGGCATTCTGGTGATACAGTAAAAACAAAAGAACAAAAAACCCGAAAAACTCACTGTATTTTCTTTTTTTCTTAGGCTTATCTCTTCTTTCTTTAATAGATCAGAATACTGTGTTTTGTTTATTTAAAATAAAATTGAGGAAAAGTTTCAAGCATTTCTTTTGGGAAGTACCACCACTCCACCCTTTGAATAGCTTTGGAAAATAATGTTTGAGCAAATGCAAGGTCAGTTCCTTCCAGTGAGTCCTATTTGAATATGTAGAGCCATATAAATAATAGCCTTCACAGGGATAACTTTTTTGTACTACGTGTATTGTTTTCTATGACTCTACTACTGAAAACATTTGTATAGTACAGTAGGGCAGTATTTAATGTATAGGAAGCAAATCTTTCACATGTATCATTGCTGGTTCTTTTGCTAGTCCCAGTCTGTGTGTTCTATCCACTGCAAGTTCTGTCCCTTCGATCCAGTTTTTACATTGGTTTTTAAGACTGAAAATACAGGGGTGCCTGAGTGGCTCAGTCAGTTAAGTGTCTGATTTCCATTCGGGTCATGATCTCATGGTTCATGGGATCAAGCCCCACATCAGGCTCTGTGCTGACAGTTCAGATTCTGGAGCCTACTTCGGATTCTGTGTCTCCCTCTCTCTGTGCGTTCTCCACTCGTTCTCTCTCACTTGCTCTCAAAATAATAAATAAACGTTAAAAAAAAAAAAAAGACTTAAAATACATTAAGACCTCCATCCACTTCCAGACATGTGATCTGGACTTACTCCGGTGCCCTGAGCGTTCATTGTTCACAGAAGTATGGTATCTCACTGTACCGTTGGCATATGTGCAGTTTGACCATGAGATTCTCATTTTAAAAAACACATTACTTGGGGCGCCTGGGTGGCGCAGTCGGTTAAGCGTCCGACTTCAGCCAGGTCACGATCTCGCGGTCCGTGAGTTCGAGCCCCGCGTCGGGCTCTGGGCTGATGGCTCAGAGCCTGGAGCCTGTTTCCGATTCTGTGTCTCCCTCTCTCTCTGCCCCTCCCCCATTCATGCTCTGTCTCTCTCTGTCCCAAAAATAAAAATAAAAACGTTGAAAAAAAAATTAAAAACAAAACAAAACAAAACACATTACTCATCAAGAGTTTTGAAAGACATAGCATAAACATTTAATGAGGTGTGTGTGAGGCATCTAGAATATTTCAATGTAGGTTTAGGTGGAATTAGGGTATGGATTCATTAATCAGTAAGAATTAGGAAGACTAATCCTTTCCTGCTACACTTTAAGTTCATACTTAAGTCATTTAAATAGATGAGTGTTTTGTTTTTGAGTATTTATTTTTAAAAGTAACCAGAGAAGCAATTCCACAGCCTTTCTTTAGTAAGTGTTAAATTGTCCATAGAGTTGATATGTTTTCTGGTGCCTGGTGTTGTTTCTTTTTGTACACCAGATCCCTTGTGGACCTGAAACCTTGCCTTAAGCCTGCTTAAGAACTCTAACCTCTTGGTCATCTGCCTCTCCTTGCTGTATCTACCCTATTCCTCTCCTGGACTTGGGACCTGTTCTTGTCCACAGGCAGATGGTTGGGGCTCTATTTCATCCGAGGCAGAACTTGCAGAGCCAGGATACTGTGATACTGCCTCTGGGATTTGAACTTACTGGATTGACGCCTTGGATACTGAGGACAGGCTAGCTGAGAGCTGGGCTCTTTGGCTATTACGATTTGGGCCCATTTTGAGGGTCAGCTTTTCATTTGCATCAGGCTCTAGAACACCCTAGACTTCATCCAGTCATTATTTAGATCCCTTTCCTGACTATACCTGTTGGATTCTTTGCCTTCTTAGTTGACTCATGTAATGGGTGATTTATATCCCCCATTTTCAGTGGTAGCTATTTTTAAGTATTTGATAGTCTACCCATGTCTTCTCTCAGTTTTGAACTTTCATTTGACCAAGTAGCTGTTGTATTTTCCCATGGCACATTTGTTTATGGTCTGTCTTTCCTTCTAGATTATGTGTACCCCGAGTGTTGAAACTGAATCTGTGCTCTTCCTGGTGGTGTTCTCAGCACTCAGTACAGTGCCTGGCAAATAGCAGGTGATAAATAAATATTGATTAATATAAAATTCATCCTAGCAGTAAGTTTGTTATCAATATGGGAAATCAGTGTCCGTATAGAAATTTAGAATTCATACAAGTTTAGACATTTCATTACCATCATTAGTACTACAGAGTCTGTATATTTTAAATTATAAGCATATCCATATAAAAAATAGCTTGGCAGGGCATTTATTTAAGAAGAAAAGGTGTATAATTTTTGCTATGCATTTTAAGGTATTGCATGTTTCAATTTTTCTTGAGTTTGATTAATATATATGTAATATTTTTTACACATTGAAGTTTTATGGCACTATAAAGAAGTGAGTTTAATGGTCCTCTTTTTGTTCATTAGTAATTGTATACTAAAGAGTAAATTCTCATTAAAAGGCCCTTAAATGCCTGCTCATAAAAAGAGAGACCTGTTTGATTTTGTTCTCTGTACAGTCGTGGTTATTGTTTTGAGGCAGGTCACCAAACTCTTTAGTAGTGTAAACCTTTAAGTTGGTTTCAGAACAGTAGTCAGTCATGTATTGAATACCCAAATTACCATGTCTTCAGACAGTAATGCAAACACTCTCTATTAAAAAGGTAATGACCATAACTTTTTTTGTAGAATTTCTCGTGCTAATTTTTTAAAGAGGACTTTTGAACTAAATTTCCTGTGAAGGCCAACATCTCATACTTTCAATGATAGTGGAGTATATGTGTATGTGTAGAGAGGCGGGGGGGGGGGGATGGTATTTTTGGTAGTGGTATTTTTAAGTGGACAGTTTACTAATTATGGTGAGGTAACATTTTACAACTCTAAAAGGAAAACTTCAATTATCTGAATGAAATTAGGTACATGAATTAATTCAGATAAATGGGGGAATCCTTAGTGTAAATGATGCATGTCCAGAGACATGACCTCAATCTTGTTTTTTTGTTTTTTTGTTTTTTTTTTTTTTCTATATATGTCAGCTGCTTTTACATTACTAGATTGTGATTTTTTTTGGTGATAGGAGGAGGTAAAGTTTGCTGTGTAGTTTTTTGTTTTTTTCCTTTGCTACAAAGGGAATCCAGAATGTGGTATTCTATGAGAAGTTTAATTGCTCATCTCTTGCCTGTGCTGCCCTGCCCTTTTAGGTGGTATACCATAGCCTTCCATTTTGTCACCTTCCTGTCAAATGTCAAATGTGTTTGTCGAATACACATACAGTTTGTTTGAGAATACAGTTTGTTTGAAATTAAAGCCACACCCCTCTATCCAATCACAAGATATTTATCCTTCCCAAAAGCTGAGTTACAAGAAGTTAAGATGAATTGAGCTGGGTAAACCTTAATTCCTTCCCTGTCCCCCGTAAGGTTTAATATGAAGCAGTATCTTATGATGTAGGACCTTAAAATAGAAACAAACACTGGGGCATAACCCCTGGCTTTTATGGATCCTTATTTGAAATGAAAATTTTGCTGATTGATTAGAGTTTAGGAATGCTTTAGGAAACTGATTTCTGCTGTTGTTTATTAAGTGTGCAGCACTCTTGGGCTCCTGGCATCTGAAAGCTATTGTTTAAAGAGTGGACAGCCTCTGTAGCTGTGATGACATTTTTCTCTAGGCATTCTTTTGTTTTGGTTTTGAACAGAGATAGGGTTATCTCAGCTATGGAGATGTGTGTAGAAATTTTACTTCTCTTTTCAACATTACCTGTTGACATTTTACCTAAAGCACCTGCGGACATTTTTTATTTTCATTCTTTATTTTCAGCATGTAGCTGCTTCCTTTTTGCCTCTAGGTCTTTGAGATACAAGATGATTCATATCTTGATTACCTTGGGTAAAGTGGATATGATATCAGCAAGTTCTGTATCCAGACCTTGTGAATAATTCCTAGGTCATTGCCTGAGACCTTCTTAAATATATGCAGGCAGTGTGATTGAAGAGCTTAGGCTTCAGGGTCAGTCGAAACTGATTTTGACCCTGTACCATTTATGAACAGCATATCTTTGGGGAAAGTTAGCTACTTTTCTGGGTTTCAGTTTCCTCAGAATAATCTTAACCTGTATTGATTTATTGTCATATACAGATAAGTGTTTAATGGTGTGAGTTAGTTCATCATCTACCTAGATCATTTTAAAAGGAAGTCGGTTTTGTTCTATTTGAAGACAGAGATAATCAAATTAGTAAAAATCTTTTCAAATAGAGGTCTTGCTCATTTGAATTTAAAACTATGTAAGATTCTTGCAACAGTCGATTAATTTATATACTCAGGGTACACTCATATGTGACATAGAGAGGTAGAATATGTAGCATACTTTTGAATTAAGACAGACTTGGATTTGTCTATAGGTGATCTAGCACTTGGGTAACCTTTGGGAAGGGAACTTTACTTTCTTGACTCAGTTTTCATCTGTAAAATGGGTAATAAAAGTGTAAAGAATAATAAAGGGTGAAAAAGGATAATATGTTGTTGTAAAGACTTCAGAGAGGAAGTATGCAAAATACTTAGTAATGCCTGAATCCATAAATACTGATAGTTGTTATTGTGACCTCAGACAAATGACTTCCCCTCTCTCTACTTCAGGTTTCCTCATCTGTAGCATGAGTATATCAGAGAACTAGTAGAATTATTATGAGGATTTAATGAGATAATACATGTAAGCGCTCATTTCATGTTAATTGGTGTTACATTGTTTGGTTTCCAAATGAGTAGGACCAATTTTGAATTAAAATGAAAGAATTTGTACAGATATTTAATATAATTCTTATGTTGCGGGATATTTATTATCAGTTTGGGGATGGCAACTTATCATTTATAGCTTTCATTGTTTCCTTAAGACAACAGTTCTCAGACTGTGATATGTAGACCCATGGGGGTTGCCGAGAGCCTTTCAGGGGGTCTGTGAGGTTAAAACTTTTTTCATAGTAATACTGACTTCTTGCTGTTCCCATTGCTTTGACATTTGCCTCACTGATACTAAAACGATGGTGGGTAAAACTGTGGGCATCTTAGTAGATATTAAATGGCAGTGGCATCAAACTGTACTAGTAATCATTGTATTCTTTATTACCATGCTTTCCCAGTAAAAAAACAAAACAGAAAAGCCAGTTTCACTGAATAATGTCCTTGATGAAGCAGTAAAAAAAATTTTTTTATTAAATCTTCATCCCTGAGTACACTTTGTTTTAATACTCTTTTTGTGATGAGATAGGAAATATGCAAAAAACATCGCTGCTGCGTATGCAGAGTACATTGGTTGGCTCAAGGAAAAACCCTTCTATGATTTTTTTGAGTTTCAAGCTGAATTAGTCATATTTTTCATGAAACATCACTTTTACTTGTAATAATGACTACCAAACTATGATTATTTAGATTTAGATATTTGGCAGTCATTTTCTTGAAAATGAACAAAGTAAGCCTGTCACTTGGGGGAAAACAACTGGTAATACTTGTTGCCAATGATAAAATTTGAGCTTTCAAGTGAAAATTAAAATTTTGGAGAACTTGTATCACCTGCTGTGCCCTTGTCAGCTTCCCAGTACTTAAAGACTTTTCTGATGAGATGGGTAATGATATTAATGAATCTGCGTTTTTGCTGTGGTATTAATTAGTTAATTATGTCAAGATTTGGAATAAAAACAAATGCAAGGAGCTGATATTTTCAAAGTGATCAACGTTACAAAATTATTGGTAAAAAACCCTTATAAAAAGCAAGTAACAGGGATGTCTGGGTGGCTCGGTTAAGTGTCAGACTCTTGATCTCTACTCAGGTCATGATGTCACTATTGGTGAGTTTCATCCCTGCATCGGGCTCTGTTGACAGGTGTAGTCTGCTTGGGATTGTCTGTCTCCGTTTCTCTCTGCCTCTCTCTCTCTCTCTCTCTCTTTCTCTTTCTCAAAAATAAATAAAACATTAAAATATAAAAGCAAGTGACAGAATACAAAGAGTTTATGTGATAATAGGATCCATGTTATAGATAACCTTCAAACTCCAGCTTGTCAAGTTTTGGTGTAGTATCAAAGAACAACATTCATAATTATTTGAAAAGGCAATTCATATTAACGTTAATTCCTTTTTTATTGAAATCAAAACAACATATCACAACAGATTGAACATAGAAGAAGATAGGAGAATTCATCTTCTATTAAATTAGAAAGAAATTTCCTTTTTTTTTTAAAGGAAAGTAATTTTTCATAAAGTATGTTGTCATATTACATATGCCATTGAAATTTTAAAATGAATTAATACTTAAACTTTTCTCATTTAATTTCTAATATAGTAAATATTGACAATTCTAACTCACATTAACAAAAAGTCGAGAATTCTCAATTTTTGAGAACACAAAGGAGTTCTGATACTAAAAAGTTTGAACTGTTCCCTAAAGGGAAGGAGACTAGATTCATCAAAAGATTAAAGTTCTGAAGTTTTAATCTTTTGAGTGTTTCTTTGGAATATGGACTATATGCCTCTACTTTATTTTTCTGGATTTGAGGGTATGTTGCTGGACTTCTGGGTCATTCCCCAAGTGGGCAGAGGGTTCCTATATGTGTTATTGAAGATTTTCCTTTTATTTAACGTTGGTGCTACCTATATGCTATTCAGAATTGAGATAAGGTTAATGGTCATTTCAGTCAGCCTATTCATTTTTGATACAAACTGTTTTGTTTGTGTTAGAGCTATTCATGCAGGTTTCAGAATTGTTCAGCATGGCAGTCTATTTCAAAGTTGTAGTGAAATTCACTGCTAAAAATAAACTGCCATTTTCTCTGAAGTCTTTACATGAGGCTAATCTGTTCTGCTATAAAGTCTTCCTGACATTTCATAGCTGTTTTCTAGTATAGTCAGTCTACAACTTATTTGTGATTATTTGCAGCAATATAATATAAATTACAGATGGGTTCTATGCCATTAATAGTATGGGCAAAGCTTCATTGTGGACTATTGGCATGTTTCTTTGGGGAATTATATTCTCACTGGTAGAAGTCTAGCCAAATACATTTCTCCATTTTAGTCGGTCAG